TGACACCTTGGGGACATGGATGGTGACACCCTGGGGACATCAACGGTGACACCCCGGGATGTGGGGACACCGGCAGTGACACCTTGGGGACACGGGGACGTGGGGACACTGGTGGGGACACCTTGGGGACATCAACAGTAACACCCTGGGAACGTGGGGACACCAGCAGTGACACCCTGGGACGTGGGGACACCGGTGGGGACACCTTGGGGACACAGGGACATGGGGACACCGGTGGGGGACACGCTGGGACAGGGATGGTGACACCATGGGACGTGGGGACACCAGCAGTAACACCCTGGGGACATGGGGACACTGATGGTGACACCCTGCGACACTGATGGGGACACCTTGGGGACACGGGGACGTGGGGACACCGGTGGTGACACCTTGGGGACACTGATGGGGACACCCGTGAGGACACCAATGGGGACACGCTGGGACATGGGGACACCAGTGCTGACACCCTGGGGACAGGGATGGTGACACCCTGGGGACATCAATGGTGACACCCCGGGATGTGGGGACACCGGTGGGGACACCCTGGGGACATGGATGGGGACGCGCTGGGACACCAATGGGGACACCCCGGGACGTGGGGACACCAGTGCTGACACCCTGGGGACATGGATGGGGACACCCTGGGGACATCAACGGTGACACCCCGGGATGTGGGGACACCAGTGGTGACACCCTGGGACGTGGGGACACCAGCGGTGACACCCTGGGGACACAGGGACATGGGGACACCGGTGGGGACACCTTGGGACACTGATGGGGACACCCTGGGGACACGGGGATGTGGGGGCGCCGGCGGGGACGCGCTGGGACACCGATGGGGACACCCTGGGACACTGATGGGGACACCCCGGGACGTGGGGACACCAGTGCTGACACCCTGGGGACAGGGATGGTGACACCCTGGGGATGTGGGGACACCAGCAGTGACACCCTGGGGACACAGGGACATGGGGACACCAGTGGTGACACCTTGGGACACTGATGGTGACACCCTGGGGACATCAACGGTGACACCCCGGGATGTGGGGACACCGGTGGTGACACCCTGGGGACACAGACGGAGACACGCTGGGACACTGATGGGGACACCCTAGGGACATCAACAGTGACACCCTGGGGACATCAACGGTGACACCCCGGGATGTGGGGACACCAGCAGTGACACCCTGGGGACACAGGGACATGGGGACACCAGTGGTGACACCCTGGGACACGGATGGGGACACCCTGGGACAGTGATGGGGACACCCTGGGGACATCAACGGTGACACCCTGGGGACATCAATGGTGACACCCTGGGACGTGGGGACACCAGTGGTGACACCTTGGGGACACCGGCGGTGACACCCTGGGATACCGATGGGGACACCCTGGGAACATCAACGGTGACACCGTGGGACGTGGGGACACCGGTGGTGACACCCTGGGACACGGATGGGGACACGCTGGGGACATCAACGGTGACACCGTGGGACGTGGGGACACCGGTGGTGACACCCTGGGGACACAGGGACATGGGGACACTGGCGGGGACACCCTGGGACACTGATAGTGACACCCTGGGACATGTACAGTGACACCCCGGGAATTGGGGACACCAGTGGTGACACCCTGGGACATGGGGACATGGGGACACCAACAGTGACACCCTGGGGACACCGATGGTGACACCCTGGGGACACGGGGACACCAATGGTGACACCCTAGGTACCGATGGTGACACCCTGGGACATGGGGAGAACCAGCTCTGTCACCCTGGGACACAGGGACATGGGGACACCAACAGTGACACCCTGGGGACACCAACGGCGACACCCTGGGGACACGGGGACACGGGGACACCAATGGTGACACCCTGGGACATGGGGAGAACACGTTGT